CAAACGCGGCACCCACTTCGAAAGCAATTTACACATGCTCAAATTTTTGTGTAAAATTGTAAACACGCTACCTTCTGATATCTTTAAGGTGTCAGCTATCTCGCGCAATTTCACTATACGGTCTTTCAAAACTATTTTGTGGACTTTTTTATGTTTTTCGGAACAACCGTCGATTTTTGTTTGTACGACCACGTTTAATTTTAGCATACCAGTCGATAATAGTTGATTTCCCTGGTGCAAAGTCTTCGTAACACTTAAGCCACTGTTTGGCTTCAACAGTATTCTTCCCCATCAAAAAACAATGTTTAACACGTTCCGTGCCACGTGTACCATCGATGGTACACGCTTGCATGTTTACTTAGTGAACTGAACAAATTGTTTACAAGAAATTTAGAACCGAAGAATCAATTTCCACCGCAAGAATGGGCGTTGATAAGTTTTTGTTACGTTGTTATGTGTACGAGAATTAATAATTGCACGTAATACATCAAGTTTTAGTAAAATATCAAAGTGTGAAGATTCGAGTAAAAAAAGCTCGGCACGGAGCGTGTTAATCGATACACGAAATTCTTTTCTAACTATTGTTTTGAAAATGACAAAACTGAGGTCACTAAAACCACTGTAACCTGTAAACTAATCATCAAAATGTCATGAAATTTTGACATGTATCGTCTGAAGAATGCTACTATCCAGAAATCATATAGATTTGTCAACAGTGTTGCCATATATGTGTCAGACCGGAGGCTTATTGAGTGATGTGTTAGTAACATATGAAATCCATAGAGGCGGTGGGCAAGTTTCGTCTCGTTTTCCCAAACAGGCAGCGAGCGTGCTTCAGCTGGCGTCTTTCTATCGACGGATCCGCGTTGAGCCCCGAAAGGAAAACCTGCTTACGCTCAATAATAAATTAGCCGTGGGCTAGGCTCTGGGATCAAAGTACCCGCAGAGAGGGAGAAAGAGAGGGAGAGAGAGAGAGAGAGCGAGAGAAAGAGCGAAGCAGATAGGGAGAGAGAGGAAGATAAAGAGCAAACGCGGCTTCAGGGCGCTAACGAACCTGGATGCAGGATTAATAATAAATCAGGAAAGCTCCGAAGGGAGCGCAAAGCAGCGCCAGGTGCGGCTAGACGCTGCGAACAAGTCCGAAAACACGTATTTCCGCGGGTCGGTGGCCTAAGCGCGTGACGATCGGCTCGGGACAATGGCGCGTCGCAATTCTATTGTGTTGCGGCCGCATGAAAATTGCCGATATATTTTCTGCCGGTGCTCGCAGCACGGCCGGCCAGGAAACACAGGCCGGCGAGTTTCTTCTTGGCCGGATTTACCCGGGCCCCGGGAATATTGGCAGATAAAGTAGCCCGATGAAAGCAGCACGGCCGCTTTCAAAGCGCCGGATCTCGTAAAATAAATATCTTTCGTTACGGCCGGCTCGCGCGATAATTTATTATTATACGCAGCCCGTGACCCGCGCGCGGGGGTGGCAAGCATTAAACAGAGGCGGAAGACATTAAGGAGACGATGCAACAATGTAACGTTTAACCCTTTGTCGGACCAACGGGCTTGGCTCTGTTCGTTTTTCGTAGGTGAACGCGGCCGTATTGAGCAACCGTGATTAATAACGTCGGCGAGTTCCGCGGCGATATGGCCGAGCAGAGATTTTAAACGATCTTGCACCCGAGCTTTAGCCTTGATTCGGAAAGAGTTTGGAGCTGGGAGATGGCGCGAGGCACTAATATCGGAAGAACGTTGATCGAAAGTGAACGGATTTTCTCTTTCTGGTGGACAAATGCCGATTTTTATCTTGCGAAATCGCGGCGACAAACTGTTTGAAAATGTTTCTGAAAATTTTGAAATTAGAGATCGTTAGAAGAATTGTTGCTCCTTTTTATTGTTTATGATAGTATTATTGAATCAATTGCTTTCTCATATAATAAAGCACTTTTTAAGGTAAGTAGAAACATAAATTTTGTTCATTTATTGCACATGTTCTTTCGTATAATAAGCGATAAACAAGATTGCGACAAAATTTAACGTCGCAAAAATATTCGGACAGTGAATGAATCACACATTAATTTTATATAAAATGAAAATCTTTTAAATCGTGTTATCATAATATTAATATTTTGCCGGTTGACCCTTTTGTTTTATTACTTCGTGTAATCGCTTGGGCATGTTACAGATGAGTTTATTTAAATACTCCGGCGAAATCCGTTTCCATTCGTCTAACAAACGTTGTTTTATCTCTGTTGTTGCCTTTGTAGGTGTTGTACGAATTTTGCGGTCCAATTGATCCCATAAATTTTCAATCGGATTTAAATCAGGCGATCGAGGAGGAGGATGCAGTACTTTTGGACAATTGTATAATAAATATTCCTGTACAATACTGACCTTGTGTTTAGGATCATTGTCCTGATAAAACTTAAAACTGTACATATACCCATATTTATAGCACTTGTAATTAAATTTCTTTTTAAAATGTCCAAATACTTCATTTTGTCCATAACACCATCGATAAAAACTAGTTCACCTACATCTACAGACGAGATATAATCCCACACTATTACACTCCTACCACCGTGTTTCACTGTCGTAAGTTAGTAAGTTCTACTTACTTTAAGAAGTGTTTTATTATATGAGGAAACAATTGATTCAATAATATTATCATAAACAATAAAAAGGAGCAATAATTCTTGTAACAATATCGTGTCCGAATATTAATGCGAGTCACTGTACGTGGCTAGAGTGGTAACTTCAAACATTTTCAGAGTTGTTTCGATACGATTTAAAAGAAAAAGTTTTAGCCGTATCTTGAAGTATAATTTTATGATCGCGTTTGACACACACACAATCGAGATCAATCGTATCTGTAAGTGTAACGAAAATTTCAAACTAGATGCGATAAACGAGACAACGTTGACGATCGAAGCAGTTGTCGATCAGGTCTGCAGTCGGTGCATTGTCGGAGAAATCTGTGCGCCTAATACCTAATGTCGGCGATTTTAATGCCACCTGGACAGAGGACGGTGGCAAAAAATTATTAAAGCGAATGGAACACGGTCTCCCCGTATTGATCCAATGGGCTCGAAAAGATCTCCCTGCGTCTGCTTTTGAAGCTGTTCCAAAAGCGGTGGGGCGACCGCAGGACAATTAACGAGGCAGCCACCGCAACACCCGGAGATTTTACTGTAATCAATTATGCAGCGTGTACCGGGGACTTGTACAGTTTTTATTCAGATTGCACAGAGGGGGAGTCGTATCAAGCTTTCACACGAATGAGCAAAAAGTACATTTTGTTATTAATTTTACCAACTGTTCGCAGCATTCTCTACGACTTCGCTGTGTCTAAAAGTAGAAATATTCATTTGCGGAATAATCCCAAAAGAAACGATTCGAACGCGTTAATAAGACAAATTTGTTGGCTCGCAATTAAAGTAATTATTGAAAGAAATATTGCGCGCATTTTGCCACGAGATTTGTCAGCTCAAGAAACTCAAATGTTTATACGATAATACCTTTTCCATCGATTATTCCAGCGTCGAAAACTTATCCGAACCTTTCTAGAAATCTGTGGACAGCCCCTCAAAGAGATCGCCGAAGTATTTTCTGCCGGTAAAAAGATACACAAGGAAGTTTCGCACCACCGTTGCGACTAAAATGTGCTCGGTAAAGAGGCCGCGTAACTCGTCCGCCATAAAAGTCGTCAGAAAATAAGAAACTGACTCGCTATCGATCTCGAGCGAGATAACTGTCCGCGACAGGCCGGAGCCCATAAAAATCGAGATTCCTGAAACAGCCGGCCCCGCCGATCGATCCCGACAAAACGCGGCGCAAGAACGCTTTCGATAAATAAATCGAACGCGCCTGCGAACGTGCGGAATTAGCTGTTGAATCATTGATAGAAATATTACCGACGGACGAGGCATTACTCCCAAGGAGCGCATTAAATCGAATTGAAACTTTAATCTTGTTCGTCGATCCAATAACGCGATCGCCGATAGCATTGAGCAATCAATTCGCGATAATAACTCACGCGTTTCCGCATCCTTGCGCTTGCGTACGCGCCTCCATTACCATGGTCCATCGGAGAATTGAGAAATCGAAGCGTGGATCGAGCGTGGATCGAGCCTGGATCGAGGCTCCTCGATCGGCTTCCGTGATCGCGGATCACCGATAGCGTGTGCTCTCTTACCTGCAACAAAACGAGAACGAAAATTAACGCGAGCTTACATGACGCAATGGAGAAGAGAAAAGTCGTCGAACCCGCGACGCGCATCGCTCGAAGAACGGAGGCAACGATTGAAACGTTACGGCGCGATTTGTCGAGCCGCATCGTTCGCCGGCCGATCGCGCTCGTATAATTAATTAACTATCCGCGGGTACGTAAGCTCGTTCTTAACGATAGCGTTTAATAAAACAACATCGGCCGATCCCGATTATCGTTCCGTATATTTCTTCTTTTACGAGCAGCCCCTATTATCGCCGCATGCGAAGCGGTTCGCGTGAAGCACCGCCTCGTGTACGGAGCGTATTCCGGGCGGAGTCACGCGAGCTGCGAGACGCGCGAATTTCTGAAAACGTCTCGGCTGATTAAACTATCCAATCACGAGCCTTTGCTCGGAAATCGCCAGCAGCAATTGGAACACCGTTCTGAATTTCGTATTACGGTGGACGATCGTTTGCGAGCACATTTGCTCTTCTTATTACCGCATTTTTTAACGCCGCATCGGCAGCAGCCTTGTCATTTGCAATGACCAGATTGCGGATTCTCGTGCAAAATAAAAATTGTCTGCATTTATTCTATGATTCGAAAGCTACGTGCACACTTATTTCTCTCCTTAATTATTATATTATAATGGTTCAAAACTAATACAACAGTATTTTCGAATTCCTTAAATGCTTTTAGCATTACTTACGCAGTCGATCTGCTCATTTTTCTCGTAAATGGAAAGCATGATTCACACTCTGCCAATGTGGTTTTTCCACAAAAATAAATAAATAGATAAAATCCGCGGTCTAGCGATGACTAATACTTAGATTTCATTCCATATAGCTATAGATTTAGTAAACAGAACGTTTTCTCTGTTTTTCGTACGTTTCGTCGGGATCTTCGAAGATTTCGTATCTACGTACAGTAATGTCTCCCTAATTGACGCTCAGATTGCGCACAGAAACGGACAATTTGGGAAGAGGAAATACGATTGTTCGAGCCTTGCAGTTAATTTTTATAGTTATAAATTGTCCACAATTATAAAAACGAGCCGCAAGGCTCGTATAATCGTATCTCCTTTTCCCAAATTGTCCATTTTTGTGGACAATCTGAGCGTCAGTTAGGGAGACATCACTGTATCATGATGTTCGTCTAGTTCCGTGCACGTGAAAATTATGTGCACGGGTGGCAGATCGCAGAATTCGCATTGACGCGCAATTCCATTTTGCCAATCGTCCAGGTCGGGATCGTTGAAACGGGCAACAGTATTGCGAAACCAGCTACAAGTGCCCGAGATTATGGTGGTCTACGTTGAGCAAACATTTCCCTTTGTATCTCGTGGCCGCGATAGCTGCGTGTACATAGTGTTCCATTGATTCATGCGACTTACAGGTCGGCCGGGCCGAGAATCGTCGGTGTTTACACACGACCTGCCGTACACGCAAGTGACTCGTACCGGCGATCGCGTTTTTCTGCGACCGGCCGGCCACGTAACGACGTTTCGCGACGTTATCACTGCCCGCGATAATGTAATGCTACCCGCTTATCAGTTACCCGAGATATCGATTAAATTAACGGTATGTGTACTCTCCAAGTCCGGGCAAGAGGATAAGGAGTCGTTGACGATACGATATACTGCAGGCGGAATTTTTCTGGAAACCGGCGCGAACGATCGGCGTCGTCTGTGCAGAAGCTAGATATAATGGATTGGCCGGCCCCGCTCGCCGGATCTCAATATTATCGAAAATATGTGGGCAGACTTGATAAGAAGTGTATGCGCGAATGGAAAGCAATACAAATATGTCAAAGAATTGACCAGTTAGCTGTGTTCGACGAGTATACTCGTCATGGAGAAACGGCAATATTTTGTGTCACGACGAGTATACTCGTCGCGCGTGAGAAGCAGCGACCATTGGCTATTTAAATTGTAATTTTAAGGAAAACAAAAACATATTCTCAATTTCAAGATGTTCAGAATATTTTGAGGCCAATCCTGCACGAAGTTGTTTACATTGTTATGAAAATAAAATTAGAAAAGAATCACGGTATTGGCGTTCGACGTGCAAAGTGCCATTATATATTGTTCCTTGCTTTGCTAAATACCGCTCTCTCTACAGCAGCAATTTGAATTTTTACCTTTTATAAGTATTCGATTATCCCTGGGTTTTTCGTTTATTATGTATGTGGTATATGTTAACGTTAAGTGAATAAGTAAACATTAGTAATAAAATGGTTAATTTTATCAAATAAAACCGTCTTTTTGATCCAATATTTTAACAGCGACACTTACATTGTATTTGACGAGTCGTCGCTTGATTCTCGCGACACATATAGGTGCGCGCTCTGAAATAGAGAGGCCACAGCTAACTGGTTAACACGTTCCGTGCCGAGCTTTTTTTACTCGAAACTTCACACTTCGATATTTTACTAAAACTTGATGTATTACGTGCAATTATTAATTCTCGTACACATAACAACGTAACAAAAACTTATCAACGCCCATTCTTGCGGTGGAAATTGATTCTTCGGTTCTAAATTTCTTGTAAACAATTTGTTCAGTTCACTAAGTAAACATGCAAGCGTGTACCATCGATGGTACACGTAGCACGGAACGTGTTAAAAGACAGTATTATTAAAAATTGAAGTCTCTTAAAACGAAAACGTATAAAAAATTCCGAAGCGTTTATTAGATGTTGTACAACAAAAAGGTGACCTCGCTAAATATTAATATAGCGATCAATAAAATATTCTTTTAAAACAATTGCTTCTTTTTAGTAATGTCCTATCATTTTGTCCGATTAAAATCAGCACATTTTTACATTATCTTCTTTAACTCTTTCCGTGCATGAAATACAAGCTCAAGGTTTATTATGCTCATCTCTAAGAACATATCTGATACATAAGGTATGTAAAATGTACGCATACTTTTATTACATTATGCGAAACATTCAAAAATGGCAAACGTCCTATCATTTTGTCCGGCACTGTACCCGACGATTCCACCTCGCGTAATTTTTATCCCGACACAATTCCAGCGCGTCGCACCGCCTGTCTTCCCCGTGGATTTCGGACGTATCAATGTCTTGTCACCGGGAATTTGTAATCCGCTATTTTTACATTATGTCAAGACGCAGATGACGAGTCTATGCGAAGAGGGTCTAGTTTACGAAGTTTAGAAGAGGGACCGTTTTGCTACGGAAATATCAGAGCGGTTTGTGTAGAATAAAAATGTCTTTCCTCGAAGAGAAGTATATTCTCATGGACAAAAACGTTTAATTTTGGCTGTTTAAGGTATGCTAAACTTTAATGAAAAATTCAAGCAGTGCGACGCAAATATCGAGCTCCCGGGTACACGTCATTTTTACTTTATTTATAGCGAATGCAAAGTTTTCTCACCGTTCTGGTCCTCGTCAAATTGTTTACGAAAATAGATGCATAAAAATCCACTCGGAGAGAAAAATAGCATTTCGCTTTTGTCGAGAAATACTTGTATTGGATGACTTTTCAGCTCTCAGTTTATAGTCTCGATGAAAGAAAACCCCCGAAGCCGTTTAAAAAACGTGAGAATATTCTCACACTATTTTCCGAAGTGGCTAAAATCGTCGAAGGAGTACATTTTCGTCAAATATTTTGATCGAAAACGGTGTCGATAGTCACATCTCTCTTCTACTCTCTGTCGCTCGAGTTTCAATTCTTGTTTCTAGCCCATCCAATTTTTGAATCCTGATCCCTTCGCTGCTTGTGAGGGGATCGGAAATGAACATCCACGCCGCGATATGTCTCTCGTAATGATCTTATCAAGACGGCGTTGCAGCGAAGTCTTAAAGTCCCATTAGAAGAGCTGGGATGTTTCGGGTGCGCGCTCTCTGCGCGACAACCCCTGCTCGCAGACTATAGTCACAGTATTTCACGATCGCGGACGACGTTCAGTGGCCCCTAACCGATAAATACGAGCTGCAATTCTGCCGCGTTTCTCGCACCGCGCCGGATTCCGAAACCTGACGAATCTTTCTCTCTCTCCCTCTTTCTCTCTCTCTCACTCTCTCACTCTCTCGCTCGCGAGAAGAACCGAAGGGAGGAAGAACGGCCCTTCTCGATCGAATTAGATCCACGGGGGTGGTAGGAGAACGAGGATGGACGTCGCTATATCCCCAGACATCTCAATTTCGCGCAACGAACTGCCTCGGCAAGATCAGAGGTCGCAGGAAAGAAAGGGGATGCAGGAGCTCGTAAGGCAAACAGAGAATCGAGACTTGCTCGATGCGAACGAACCTTTTCCGGACGAGGATTTTTTTAACCCTTAGCGCTTCGTTGGCTCCGCTATGGAGACATCCGTCATTTGTTCCATAAATCCGAAGGCTCTGCTGCCAAACCCAATGTTTTTAGCATGATTACACCGAAGATGCTGTTTTTGTCGACGTTGGCAATTGTTATTTGTAGTGAAAACGTGCTTAGCGTGTGTACCATTACGATTAAAACATTTTTTGCCCATTTTTATACTTGGCAACATAAAACGAATAAAATCAAACGCTTTCGCAAGGACGTGCAATCTTTTCCGCTCGAAATAAGACTTCCTTTATCTCAGGCGCTTTGCTCCAAAACTGTGCCGGAGGTTGCTGGTAGCGATATTTTTCAGAAAAACGCTGTTCAACTTTATTTTAGAACGTCCGAAGAATATTTACTAATTTTTAATTTAATTTAATTATTAATCGAGCCGATTTCAGCGAAGATCAACAATAAAAAAGTTCCGGCAAACTCGCGCAAAAGATATTTTTGTTTCGATAATTCCGTATACAAACAGAATTCAACGGACGATTCGCAATGCTAATTTTATAATAAATCGCGTCAAAGAGAACACGAGGGATATATTTATTTAAGAATCGCGAAGAATATCATTGATAGTAAATTTATCCATTTCGATGAGGATGCATTTGCTGCTTGGAA